CGAGCGGCGGCTACAGCTGCTGCGAAATAGCCGAGAGCGGCTCTCTCGTCCACGCACGCGTATTTTGCAACCGGGCTACGTCTTTGGAAAGTGACTGCGTAATCGCGAGTGGAGTGTGTTACCGGGTGGAGTCCTCTGTAACGTTGTTCCGTGTGTACCTTACGGTCGCGTGTGTTCCTTGAATTTTATTCAGTCGAATCGATGGTTACACGGTGTCCGATGATTCGATGGTTCTGAATGGTTGCTGGCTTCTTTACGCGTAGTATGTTTCTGCTCCTCTTCCGAGAGTATTCATCTTGATAGAAGAGGATAATAAGTCAAAACGACGTAGAAGAAACATCGCAAGAATCTTCGGTCTACTGATCAGTGATCACTAGTATTGGATCCGACGGTCTGACCTAACAAATACAAAAATGAGAGGTGCCAATCAGGATACGGCGACGCCGTACTGTCGCTGCAGAGTCCTTTACTTAGGCAGCTCGGTGCCCCATGCGAGTAAGGAAGGTTTGCTAGGGGTGCAAGAACCTTTGAGAGAACTATACCCAGAACAGGGTGCCTTGGGAGCACGTGGACTGGACTCCTGGCTGAGCGTCTGGAGCAACGGCCTGCTGCTGGAGAATGTGGACGAGCACCGCAAGAAGGTCACCAGGTTCTTTCCCATCGAGGCGCTGCACTACTGCGCTGCTGTGAGGCATGTCAAAGGCGGAAGCGGCGACGCCTCGAACACGAGGTTCCTTCCCTTGGACTCTCCCTTCGCTAGAACGCCCAGTGCCAACCATCCGCCGCTTTTCGCCGCGGTTCTGCGACGAACCACGGGTATCAAGGTTCTCGAATGTCACGCATTTATATGCAAGCGCGACATGGCGGCCAACGCCCTGGTCAGGTGTTGCTTTCACGCGTACGCGGACAGTAGCTACGCCAAGGGCCTTGATCCCTCTGCCACGACGACCAACGGAGTCACCAGTGGACATCCTTCGAATAACAGTCTCTACCACACTCTAGGAGGATCCAGTACTACCCTAGATAGTCCACAAGCGACTCGTTTAGACGCTACCTCAACAGACGACCTTAGCTTGTACAATGGAGATGAGAATCATAAGGTCTGGGCCAGAGGTCGAGAAGAGGTGGACGGTTTATATCAGGAACAGGGGACTCTGAGAAGCACCAAGGGATCTAGACCTCGTCAGCTGGTCGCTCCACCTCCTCCACCGCCTCCGCCCCCTCCACCTTCTCAACCTTTGCTCCTCGAAGAATCTTCATCGTCCTCAGTCCGCAGAAAAGCGAACAAGAAACTCAAGAAGCTCAAAAACCGATCCTCTCACGAAGATCCCTTGCAACAAGCTCACCTTCATCCTCAGTTGCATCAAGGAATATACACTAACGGCCATGGACACCATACTCTGGGTCACCCAGTGAGGCAACAGCACTATCATCCTCATCCTCTGCCACCTAGCAGTCGATCAGTCGCAGGAACTTTGGCCAGACCAGCGCCAGTTTTATTGGTACCAGCCGCAACTTTACCTAGGAAGGCTCACCATCATCCTAAAGGACTCAGACCGATTCCAGCAGCCGCTCCAATCGTTCCGGTGTACGCTCCATTACCTGTGGTGCCTCCTCCACCCGCTGCAGCCATTTATCCAGCTGGAACTTACGGGACAGCTGGAAATAGGGGCAGAAGACAGCATCTTGAGGCGGATTCTTCGACCCTAGGAGCTTCCAGAAGACTGGCTGCCTCTCACGCGGATCTTACCACCGCAGAGATGAGCAGAGCAGCTGATAGCCCAGAGAACGAGTCGCGTTTTGGAACTGGAATCTATAGAAGAAAGGGCCACTTGAACGAAAGAGCGTTCTCATACAGCATTCGCGCGGAGCATCGTAGCAGAAGTCACGGAAGTTTGGCCTCTCTGGGCTTCAGCGGGCAAAATGGAAACGCGCTGCCCAAAGAAGAGAAGAAGGACAGGGAGATTGCTCAGTTGGTGGCTGGTTTGAACCTGGATGACAGTCCTGAGAGGGTACAGCCGATGCCAGCTAACTCGAGGAGCGGTTACTCGCACCATCAGCAACAACTTCAGCCTCTACCTAGGCCACGACCTCGTTAGGAATTTTCCGGATGTCGATTCTTATTGTAATCATGAGAAATAATCGATGAGTCAAGTCTGGAAGTTATACAGTCGGTCCAATATGAAGGCAGATGTTGTTCTATTTGGATTTTGGTTGTTGAAGACGCTTTGTTGCTTCATGGTAATGTGAAAAAGCTTGTTTGAGACTGGACCGTTTAGTCAGAGACCAGATAACAGTGTGAACAGACCACTTGGACCGATCATCTTTCTGTTTGTTGAATAAGAACGTATGGTGTTGTCCATTGTTTTGGATGGAAAGTGATTTTCATAGGAAATTTGGACTCGTTTTCTGGAGTCTATGGACTGTTAATCGAGGCACTAGTTTATGGGGGAAAAGATTGGTTCGTGGTGTTAGCGTGGAAAATCGCGATGGGTGGTCGAGTGGCCGACTGGTTCAGTTGGCTTTCGTTTCTTAGAAGAACCTTGCCCGAGTAGGAAAATTACGGATAGGCAAAAAGCTGAAGAACACCCGGCCTCATCTTCGTCTCGCTGATTTCTACCTGTGACCTCGATCGTCTTATCTCGAGAGTCGATCACCTTTGTCGAATTCAGGACTTTGATCGTGGGATGCATTGAAAAAACTCGAGCAGAAATTCAATTCGAATAAATTGAGTTTTAAAGTATTTTTGTGAATTTTCAGATGGGGTTTTGACATTTTTATTCTTTTATTTAGAATTTCTTTGGTTTTATTTATATCTTACTTGTTTTCTTCGTAAGTTGTCAACTTTTGCTATTTCTACTTTTTAATTTGGAATTTTATAATTTTTATGTATGTCTCGATTCTCTATATAATTTGAAATTTTTCGTTCTTTAATACTGATTATTTCTGTTGTCGTTTTTCGTTTGACAAAAGGTCCGAGAATTTTTATCGCGGTTGGCGGAAAAGATTGACGACGACGTAATATTTTTGCGCGACCTTCCTGTCGCGAAATGAACAGGCTAATTGGACGAGCTCGAATTATTGTCGTCCAACGAAGATCGTTCTAATGGCTGGAACTCGTTAGACACAGACACGCAACTTTGCAATGTTTCCTTCCAGTTGGCAGAATTACAACTCTGTTTAGGATCCTCCTTCACTAACAGAAAATTACTCAGGAATCGTTAAAATTTTTCAACAGTCAAAAAGTTGTCTTTTTCCAATATTGCAATCGTTCTTTATTTGACAATTCGTTAATGAGTTTATTGCGCACGAATTTTTGAAATTTCTACAAATTAATCATAATATAAAATCTTGTTTAAAGTAATTAGAGGGTTTATTAAGAACCTTTATAAGAATTTTCTCTCTCTTTATCTTTTAAACCTTAGAATTTCTTATACTCGGTTACAATATGAAATTTTGTATGAAACAATTGGAAGATCGTTTTTGTTTAATGAAATGGTCATTTTTCTTTTTATAATTTTTCTATGTATTCGATTGAAATTTCTTTGTTGTATTAATGATGATTACCTCGCTATATTTTGTTATAATCGAGGAATCGTATCAGTGGTTTCCCCTAGAAAAGATTACGCGACGGTTCGAATCTCCGACGCACGAGTTACAGCCGACTTGCTCGTGAGAACGTGAACGTTAATCTTAATTGCATGAGAAAAAGTTATACGGCGAGGGTTTCGAGAGCCTTAAGAAACAGAGAACTTTGCATTTCACCGCCTTTCTTTCGTATAATGCTTCGGGAAAAGAGCGAAATAATTAAGACGCTTAGAAACCATGTTGATCAATTCAATGCATTGAAGCACAGCAAAAAATAACGATATTGCAAACATTGATTTTAAAAAATCTGTCTTGAAATTTACAATTATTTATCATAAATGAATTTATGAAAATCAGTAAACTTGTTCTTCAGAAGTGGTATGTTTCATAATATCAAGGCGATCTTGCGCAGTTAAACTAATATCATTAGTAAAATTTTAAAAGTTATAAGTTATCGGTATTAACTTTTCTATATAATAATCAACAAGTTTGACGAGAAATGAAATTTTAAAAATTGTGATTGGATTTTTTAGGGAGACTTTCTAAAGCGTAGAATGCATATAAAATGCGTATAAGGTAAAGAAATATTCAAAGTGTAGTATTCGTTATAACATTGATTATAATATTATTAGTTATTAAATTGCTGTGCAAGAATGCTCAAATAGAATAAAATTAACTAATTTACAAAAGACAGGATAGAAGCAAATTTTGTTTTCCGAAAGATTCTCATTCAACATTTTCTACGCCAAAATCCTTCATCAATAATTTACACGAATCTATCAGAAAGTTAACGCAAACACGAAGAATGAACGATCAACGTTATCGCTTTCACGACAAATCAGGTTTCATAAACACGATTAATTGCGAACCGGCCTTGCAGTATTAGCCTCAAATCCTGTTACGACCGCTAATTACTCAGATCTATGAAATATCCCACGCAACACATGATAATTACGATCGTTTGCATGGTGTTCGCTTCTTTATCTTTTTATTTGACCTGCAACACGATGAGAAAAATGAGAGGAGATTGTAGGGGCGCCAACATTAACATGAGAGGGATTTGCATCGCATTCCTTTGACGTACGGCCTCGTTTTTCCATGAGAAAACACAACGATAATGAACGACTGTTTAATAACCACGGAGACATCGAGATTGCTTAAGTCTAATAGTTCGACGCGATTTCGCGCTTATGAGAACGAAATCTGGGAAATCCCAGATGCAATCTCGAACACTGTGCAACAGTATCACCAGCTTACGAAGCTGGCAAACACGTTCCGGACAATTAACCTAACGATCGTAATTAGAACGCGGTTTAATGGCGAGGAAAATTTCGCGAGACCTCTGATTCTCCGCGTTCTAATAAAAAATTGAGAGATCATTTTGATCTCTGCGCCTTTTTGTTGAAAATATTTGACATTAGAAAATTTATACAGATTGATCCGATTTTTGTCCTTATAATAATATTTGATAAGATAATTTGAAAAATGATATCATTTCCTCCTTTTATTTCGAGATTAAATCGATGAAATTTTCGTACTTTGAGAGAAATATTAAAAATTAGAAGAGCGAGCCGAATAGGTTGGATTCTCGTTTTTCAATATAATAATTATCAACAATTTGGCGATAATAAATATCAAATTATTTGAGAAATATCATCATTTCCTACTTTATTTCGAGGCTATATTATTGTTAATTTAAAAGAAAGATAGGTATTGTTTTAGAAGGATGATAGAAGTACAATATTTTCGGAAATAAATGAATGCAGCGAACAATACATCCATAAATAATGAAATAAAAATGTTTAGTAATGATTGTTTTAACAAAATGATGAACATATTTGGATTAATAAGTGGAAAATATTGAAAGATTATTTTTTAATTAAGATAAATTCTTCGCCCGTCGAAAAAATTACGTGGAGGGATTAGAAACTTAATTAACAGCATCGATGAAAGGGAAAAAGGGTCTGAATTAATTACCTGAAATTTTACTATTCAATTCAGAGACGCGTGTTTACTCAAGCATCGAGCATGCCTGTTTCGAAACTGGTTACAGATACCTCGTATGCTCGGATGAATACACATTCCTATCGTCGCGTATGCATATACAATTAGGCTCAATTATTATCGATTCGTGGCCGACGCGAGTCTGCTACGCTTGCCGCGACATATTTCGTTATTCAACGTGGTTTTCCTCTCTGCCTTTCTCGTCTGTGCACTTTGAAGAAATATGTACTTTACCTCGATGAAAATGAAAAATATCTTTACCCATCGAGTCATCTGTCTTCTTTGACTTTGAGAATATTTTAAAGTTATTTTTATAGATTTATTAAGCCATCGAATATGTACTTATGAACATTATTTAAATATTTAAAAAACCAATGCATTCGAAGCTTTAGCTTAAGAATAATCCATGATCATGAGACTGAGAGGGACTTTTCGTTAAGTAAAATAATGTCAGTGAGTTATATTTAATTATATCAGCAAATAACAATGAATAATTTCATCAGTAAATGTGCATTTCCTTGAAAAACTTACTTCCATCGATCTTATTAAATCAAGAATCGAGCACTATTGTAATTTCTTCAGTTTATAAACGTTTCATAATCTCTCGGGAGGAGCAAATCTTCTTTTAACTCCTTGTTTTATTATTAAAAGACGTCAATCGCCTGTCTGTGGCTGGAAGGAAAACAAAATCGGAAAGATTACAACGTCTACGATTCTCGACGTTCCTTTCTTGCTAGTCGAGATTGCGCAGCGATCTTCTGACAGGACGTGAAAAAGAACCTAAAAAGATTAAAGGCATAAACGTGGTTAATGATCGGCAGACGAACGTATGCAAATGAATGGGTATCGCGCAGCATTGCCTGGAAGCGTTGCTTTTTACTGCTCGCGCTTCATCGATCGCATTGATCGACTCGGTGAAAAGTGTCGCTTCGGTTTCGCAACGAGTTTCTCCGTTCTCGCGACACGTAACTCGCGACGATTGCAATAAGAGGGAGAGAAAAAAAGAAAAAAACTGGAGAAAAAAAGAATGAATTGCGTGGTAATTTCAAGGTATCGCGAGTGCAATGGACCGAATTATGCCGCTGAATATATTATTCATAGATAGGAAAATCCCACGTGCGTTGCATGATTTCGTTTAGCAAGGTCGTAGATACATTTTCGATGGAAGAATTGAAAGGAGAATTCAAAACAATCCTTCGTGGAGTAAGATACATAAAATATAGCAAAATTTTCAAGAATTAGAGAAATTCTGCATCGAAACGAAGTAATTTGCAAAAATTGCTGGAGTTTGCAAAATGATATTAATAAATATATGAGACTGAGTAAAGAATCTTTTTCATAATAAAATATAAAATTCGCAAGAATTGTCCATACAAACGAAGAAATCGCTAAAAATCAGAAAAATTCACAAGTTTTTCATAAGAACCACGTTCAGAGTTGATTTTTCCAAAAGATATATTCACGATCAACTATTTCGTTTATTCTTGCCTCCACGATGTAGTTATGGGTTTAACAAACGGAAACGAGTACGTGGACAGACCACGTAATCGCTTTTCGTAACCACATTCGGTGGTCGAAGGAGTTTATGAAACACTGACGACTCACTGACACTTATCAGGCAACAAACTGAAGTCTCTATCTTGCGACATGACGAAAATTCCTTTCACTGTTCGCAAATTGATTGTTCTCGAGTGGACCGTTCTTCAATTCTGATGGCGTCACTATCTCAAACGAATCTAAATACAGTCTCGTCATAGCAATCAAAGTGTTTCGAAAATTTCTGTTGAAGAAATTTCAACGTTAATTCGATTTTATGCAAACGATCTTCCAACTGTTCTGTTCGTTATAGTACTAAAAATGATTTGCTAAATTGGCCACTAAAAGTTAGAAACAACTGGAAAAATACACAGAAGAAATTTCAATTTCAGTTGCATTTTATGACAAGGATCTTCCAATTGTTCCATTCGTTATAGTAATAAAAAGAAGATTTGTCAAATTGGTTATCCAATTTTCCACGCTAAAATCACAAATTCTTCCCTTCGACAGCGAATTGTTAACTATGCACGCAAGCTTTTATTCTGTAAAAGTTCGATAAACAACGACAGCTTTAGCAAAGCGTTAGCGAAGCGTTAGCCAGCATGGGAATCAGTGCCAAACGCCATAAATTGTCCGACTTTGCAAAATTGTATCGCGACTGTTTTTGCTCCTTTCAGAATGTCACGTTTAATTCCTTCGCTGTGCTGAATTTAACAGAAAGAAGTGTCCTGTTCCTTCAAACTTAATGGGGATGACACGCGAGTTTTCGTGAATTCGCCTAGTCATTAAGGTTATCAGGCTGGAACGGAAGTTTCGCTCGTTTGTTCCTCGAGGTTGACAAAAATTAGTTTTAGTAGCCTTTTTAACACGTTGTCTACCACGATGAAGACCTACGTTACTATATCTTTTTAGTATGTTTAAAAGAATATAAATTTCACGTACTAAAAAAATTATTAACAATATGAATGACTTAGGTAACATTGTTAGAAAAAGGTGCGCAAATGTGATATAATATTTTGTAAAAATCGAATACTACACGATGCAGTATATTTCAATGTATTGCGAATCCCAGTGCAAAATAGTAAATAAAAGTGTATGTAAAATTCGCGTGGCAGTCAACGTGTTAATTACCAGGTGGTACCATAAGTAATCTCTGGACAGCGGATTTTTATGCATTTGTAGGAAATTTGAAAATGCAAAATGGTAGAGAATACACATAATATAAAATCTGCGAAGTAGATAGCGCTTTCTACGATACTTGGTAGGTAAGACAATTTTCTACCAAAGTTCTACTTTTTTAAATATGTATTCACATATATATTCATAACATATTTATATTCTCGAAAATATGAATTTGCATAAAAATCCGCGATCTAGTAATCTTACTTTTTATTTTGCGTCTTGATGCGTAAGATAAAATGAAATAATACGTAGACTGCGGATTTTTACGCGATTGTGGTATATTTGAAAATGCAAAATTACACGGAATACACACAATATGTGCAGTAATACAGAGAATATCCGAAGTATAGCACTCATTATGATATTTTAACAGGTAAAGAAAATTTCCGCTTAGGTTCCATTCTCCCAGTTGCGATCAGAAAAATTTTAGATTTGCATAAATATCCGCCGACTAATAATAAGTAGTATGAAGATTTATATCGATGCTAATATAAAGCGCAACCATTGAAAATACTTTACGATATAGTAAAAACCAATATCACATAAAATGAAAGTTATATTTTTCATTCCTGTTAACTTTAATACATTTATTTTATTCTAAAGTAAAATCTACTCGAAAATAAAATGAAAGTATTGAAAGGGATACTAAAAATACTTTGTCCGCTTTTCGTCGAGCTTGTTATTCGAATTTGTTATTCGTAAATTTAGCTTCACAGCGAAAGGATCGAACGAAATCTCGAAAGGGCGATACACGGCTGCCTTCGACGTTCTTAATCGCGATCGAGGACAAGGTTAACAGTTCCGTAACAGAGATCAGCCCGGTGTCATAAAAGAAGAAGAAAGAATCGATCTTCGAGAGTTGCAAGTCGAGCAGGAGGTGTGCAACTGGAACTTATTTATTTAATCGTATGTGCCAGATGATTGTATAGGAAGTTTCAACCAGTGGAGTGTTTTCAACTCGACGATAATTATTGTACTCGAAACAAACCCTTCGATCGAACAGAATCGTATAAATCGTGGAAAATATTTGCAGAGAAAAGTTTTCTTATATTCCTTCCTCGATGAAATTCAACCTTCGATAATAATTGCATTGCAGATAACAAAAAGATATCGTGTTTTACTCTGCGAATAATTGTACATTTCTGTTGAAGGGTGAAACGAATCGTTCACGGTCGATGGTAGTTACAGTTTCTTAGGATTTTCTCGCCGGAATTATTGTTATTAACTCTTCGTTTGACGAATAAAATCAACACTAACCATTAAAGAGTAAAGCAAAAGAGAAAGAGGTGAAAAGAAATTAACAGATCAAGGGAGAAATGGGCTGCTCAAACGAAGAGTTAAACGAAAAGCGGAGATTGGGCCATTCAGAAGTCAAATTTATCGAAGTCTCATTTTTTAGAATCTTTTTATCTTATTTCAATAATAATAATAATAATAATAATAATAATAATAATAATAGTAAGCAAATTATTGTTAATCGTTGTTTACTAGAATATTATGATTTTACGTCGTTTAATTTTTGAAAAAATACAAAATAGATGTGGATGGAGTTGATAAGTTTGGTTTCTGTGTGACTCAGTTGCGCGAGATCATGACGAAGCGCAAACGATTATTTATTTATCGTGGTCTGTGCTTGTTTCGCGGACGTGTACCGTAATGAAAATGTATTTATCACACGGCGAACGCGATGGAGTCTTCTCGCATCTGTTTTCTGGTAGCTTCGTGTTGCCCTGCATAATGCAAACTTCTCTCGTGACACGTTTATGTCTACATCCATCCTCTTACGTAAGCCTTTTAAAGATCACCGATTCGAACATGCAGAGTGCTATTTTCTTGTGCACGAAATATTCAATAAAAGTCGACGAGTTTCCCTTTCAACTATTTATCTTGTATTTTTTGGAATATTTATGTAGCTTAAAATTAAAAAGAACATTAACTCAGGTATTCCTTTATTCTTAAGATAATGTAATTTTTGTTTCTATTGAGATCTAAACTGATATGAGGTATAAAAATTAAAGTTTCGCAGTTATTAATTAAAGTTTATCGGTGTTAGCCACTTTTTTAAAGAAAATAACTATCGCTCCGAAAGAATGTCGTTGGAAATCATAAGATGAAATAATTTTATCTTCGTCATTTTGGAAGATTGACCGGCATATCTGATTTAATTCGATTCAATTTTGTTGTGTTCCAGATTTTTTATTTTTTGTTCCATATTTGGTTTCTATAGGGTGCGCAAAAGTGTCGTGATAAATTTTGTAAATCGGATAGTAAGCATTCTGCATGGGACGAGTATGATTCAAGAAGAAGAAGAAGAGAGCGAAGACGTTTCTTCTAAAAATGGCGCACATGAAGTACCAGAAGCGGAGATCCGTCCTATCCTCTTGAATTACTTGTGAACATATTATGTATATTGTTACGTGTCGATTGCCATGCAAGATTAATTAATAATAAACTAACAATGCAACTAAAAATCGGGCAGCAGAATTTTAATTTCCGATTTGGGAAAATTGTTCTTAAAACAAATGAAACACTGAATATATTATAAAAAATAGTATAAAAGAAGTATATTATAAAAAAGAAAGCTTCTATTACCTAAAACAGAAATATTGCTAATGGAAAAAGAAGAGAAATGCAACTCTAGATGTGGATCATCTTACGAACCATTCAGAAGCCACATTGATCAATTCCATAAATCGAAGAGTGCAGAAAAGCGATGATATTGCAAAACATCGCTTTTTTCCATTCACCTTACAATTTACTATTATTTATATGACATCTTTTTACAATAGGCAAACTTAAGTCATTTGTTCCTTGAGAATTAAAGATTAGATACTAGAATCGTATGCCGATATGATGAAATTAAAAAAATTAATAAAAAATGGAATTACGATCAATTTGAAGTCACTTCTAAGAGGTTCATTGATATTTAATACTTTACAACGCTAGACTGCGGATTTTTGTGTATTTAGAGGAAATTTGAACTTTGCACATACTATGAAAAAATACACGAAGTATACAAAGTAAAGTACTTATTATCATTTGAGTAGATAAGACAAATTTCTATCTAATCTTCATTTTTTATGTATATTCATAAGAATATAAAATTGCATAAACATCCGCAAGTCTATTAACAACAATTGTATCGTTATGTAAGTATAAATAACTTTATGACAAATAGTACAGCTTTAGTTTTCCTGGTGAGATACACAGAATTCGATAGATGTCAACATAGAAAGCAGCCTTAATAAAATAAGCAATAAATAACGTAATACTTGAGTGGTGCTATGCGCTATGTGCTATTTTCAGTCGATAGCGATAATTAGTCACATGTGTAGACTTTCGTAATTGACTATACGCTGGTCTCTTCACACTCACACATTCGTCGACCACATTCCATTCTCGCGTGCAATTTTCAGGGTTAACCACAGCCGACGATACGCCAGTTTCGCGATCGCGGTAAACGTCCCTGGAATGCAAATCGCCTTGATTGGCAGCCTAAGTGGAACGCTTCTTTCCTTCTTTATTTCTCCTCGACGGTTTTGAAAACGAGTCTCGTTGAACTCTTCTATCGCGAATCCTTCATTGGTAGACCTACGTTAGACGCGTTGTATTTCCAATCCAACGTGTCGAGAATTTTAATGAAATTTCCTTGGATCTCCTTTATTGGCTCGTTTCCTTGTTTTCATCGACTTGTTCGCTTCGCTGGGATTTCTTTGGAAATCTCCACCATGACTGACTATAGATTAAGTTTATTATTAATTGAAAATTGATTTCAAGAATGTTAGCTTCTAAATCGTTCGAAGATTCAGATATTCGCGATTAATACTTCGTCGTAGTAAATTAGAAATTAATCATTAGAGATTAGTTGCGAAACGTTTAGCTTCAAAACGAAAGTTTTGGAGGTCCGAAAGTTCTCGATTAATAATTAATTACAGAAGATTAATCTCTTAATGATTTTCCCGATATTTCTTATTTTTTATTTGCGCCACTTTTAAGACCATAATAAACAGGATTGCCATTAACTCGTCTCCAATAAACGGAACTAACAAGTCTCCTAATCACGAAGAAACGTGTCTCGTTGCACATGATCACTGCCAATCGTCACGTTTAATCTGCAAAAACAGCATCATGGTTGATCAGTCTTAAAATTCTCGTGATACATAGATTACGGGGATCGAGGCGATGACACCAGCTGTTTAGACGTGCCAACCTTACGACAGGTCGAGTGCATCCAACCGATTCGCGTTTCTACAGCTAATTATCGTATATTACGTGTTCGTATGCCACTTTTTTTCCTCAGCGCTATGAAAGTCTCAGAACATCCATCTAAATTACGATTGAAATTACACTTTGATACTTGGACGAGCTTCTAGAATAGTCCTCGATGATGATAGACGATTACTTTGAACGATGACAAGATATAAAGAATATAAAAAGACAACCTTGGATTATGAACGCGCGAGAATCGACCTTCGTTGTGCATCTGCACCTGACGTAACTCAGAAAATCCATGTCCCATCTTTTAATCCGTTTTCCTTCTTTTGAAATCATTGATATCGCTATTTTTAGTTTTATCTTTAAAACTTGGACCCTCTTGCATAATTTGTCATCTAGTAACTAATAGATTACGGATTTTCATGCAATTATGAGATATTTGAAGGTACAAAGATTACTTTATATGTATTAGTTATTTTCTTAAATTTAAGAAATAGATTGTATGATAGTTGAAGTTAATTAATTTTGTTTGAAGAAAAATTATAAAAGAAAATTATTCTCAAGGAGGATACATTTTGCTTTGTTTTTTTATAAAATCCTTCTTGTTCAAAGGATTTTTCAATTTTAAATAAATTGATTTTTCCCAACAACTATACCGTATCAACGTGGGAGTGAACGGTATAACAGTACTTACTAAAACAATGGTAACACAAGCAGTCCCGTTACAGATTGAAATTTACAAACAAGAGTTACCGAGCACTGCGAATAATTCATAAATTATAATATGATGGCGATTTACGCAAACTGTCGACAACCAAATCGTGGGAAAGATTCGGAAGAATAAAGATCCACCCCCCACCGCCAATAGAAACTTCTCCAAAATTTGTGCATACATGTTATTCATAATAATTACATTTTCTAAATAACTAAATTTTCGGCATACCATTATCTAAGTAATCGAAGATTCTTTTAAAGAATTTTACGAACGTTCAGAGACTTTTTCGTGGATTTTCCTCTAGAAAACTTCCATATTGATTATGAAATAATTATTTTCAGGATTTAGATTTTTTAAATACAATTTTCGATAAAGTACTATCTACAACTTCAGAGAATTCTTAGCATATCTTCTCTCGAAAAACTTTCAGATTCTTTTCAAAACTATTTTTCCAAGGATTTTCCGCAATGAAAGTATTCAACTACAATCGTAATTACAATCGAAGGACGTAATTTTCTAAGACACGATTACCAGATAAGAAACGCGTCCTCGTTTAAAAAACACGAGAGAAGGGGTGAAAATGTAGAATTGAAAGATCTCACATGCGTAACTATGATTTTCACATTGAAGGTAATCATCGATTGGAATGTGCCATCGAGAAAATTACTCGTTCCATTCGAAATACATGATTTTAGTTTTTACCAAAAAAGTTTGATCGAGCAGTTTTCATAAATTTTACGATAATTGGAGAAAATTAATTTTAATTGAAGAAAAATTAAAAAAATATTATTTTTCTCTTTTTACGATATTTTGTTCCTAGAATTTTTAATCTTTCACAATTAGAGAGTGAGCAAGATTAGCAAGAATCATCAAAGAGAAATCTTAGTGTCAAGAAAATTCAACAACAATTCAATGATAGAACAAGTGCATGTATACTGCTGTATTTATTGAAAAGCTCTCATAAATTATTTTTTATTTACTACTTTAAATTATAAGACAGATACGTACGATTCGATTTGTACGAGACATCGGAAAGTGTTTGAAATAGTTACGTTCGACAATGTACGCAATGCGTAGAGAGAAAAATGATCTTTGTTAAGTTTCCATGTAATTTCGCCGTGAGAACATCAATAGCCTGCAATACAGTTAGAAGGTAACGCGACAATTTTACAGTTACATATACGTGCACGCACAAGCGTATACACTTTTAGGTAGAAACAAGGTCAGCAACGAAACGACACGGTCATTCGTGAAATTCCGTGCATCAGTTATCGATCGATATCTAATTACTCATAAAATTTATTTTTCTAACGGGACTATGTAATTGAGGCGATTTGCGAATCGAACGCTGCACCGTTACCATATTTCAGTGAAAATTTTTTCGTAGTATAACGACTTTGTTATCTGCATCTTCGATCTTTTGACGAGCAAGAGTATTGGTACTTTAGAGATACAGGGATATTTGCAAGAAACGATGCTAATGTAAATATTTTCTGAGAAATTCCAAAAATGGTAAAAAATTCAGGAAAATTATTGTATTGAAATAGAAAATAAAAAAGAGATACTTCAAAAGGTTTATAATAATATAATAATATCCATTTAATAAGGATATGGTGATGATTACCTCGAAAACCCTACATTATCACGATTAAGATTGAAAATGCAAATTATTACGAAATGGAAAGTGTAATAATTACTATTGTAATTATTTCTTTTCTGGAATCTAGATTATGATCGAATTATTTTTACAAATTCAAATGACCATTCGATTCTTTTAAAAATCTCAGTTATGCTAATTATTTCTAAGAACGCAAGAATTTCGGCAAGCGAAGGATTTTTAATTTCTAAAGAAAAGCAAGACCAAACTACATTCGGGTACTTCAGTTCGCACGAGAGATTTTCCTCTACAAATGTGGCAGATGAAAGATTAAAAGAGGCCTCCAAAGCAAATTACACTTTCAATCGTCTAGGTCACCGAATCCGAAAGAAACACGAAGGTTAAAAGACGAGGTACGATAAATTCCAGTATTACCTCCAATTGTCCACGCGTTTCTCAGTCGTTGACAATCGCGCGTTCCTTTTCGTACGAAGCAGACTGTGTAATTGCATCACGCATGCTCGCGACTGGATCAAGAGGAAACAAGCGGAGAACAGCACAAAGGAAACTTTTAAAAGAGGTCTGCATTATAAACGGGGAACTTGTAAGTGGATAATGTATCCGGTTTTGAATAGGAATGAGAAAGAAACGACCGATGCATGACGCGAATTAAATTAATTAGATTAAAGTTGATAATGGGGACTTTAGTTTTGTTTTAAGAAAGAAACGACAAAGGGCTTATTGTAGAACAATTTACTAAGTAATAATGTCAGTCAATTGATAAATTGTCAATTGCAGATTGTAAACTTATCTTTTCTAATTTTATAGCTTTATGTCAAATATAATAATCGAATGATCAAAAAGTATGATGAATCGTTTGATAGCTTATCATAAGGAAACATCAAATTTCAACCTGGTATGTCAAAAAAAAATTCAGATTGTTCATTTTTATACTATTTTTCTTATTTAATGGTATGTAAATGTCTTAACAAAATTCTGGAATATGTTACAGAATATTTGTAGATCTTTTTGCCGCGAATCCTAGACGCAAGAAATGAGAAACGCTAAAAAATGTAAATTTCGTGCTAGGATTTACATATCGGCGTAACTATTGTCCTCAATATTTTTGTTCAAAGCATTGATTGCAATATTAGTACAATAAATACAATCGACAACACCAATGAATGCAATAAATATTGTCGTGTTCGCTATATTAGGAAATATATGTCCGACATCAAATGGCATTAAGGACTAACGGTCAGCCATTTTCTTCCAGGAGTTCCAATTGTATTTCGCTCCACTTTTGCAGAAGGATATAATTGAAGAGCGATTATCACTGAAACATAATTTCAGCGTCCATTTGTCGCCTTCAGAAGGAGATGATAGAACCAATTATGAAACCAATGTGAAAATATGATTGAATGATATAATTGCCGAACAAATAGCAGTGCTAGAGATAATTTTCGAAGATCAAAGGATACCTATAAACTTTGATAATTGTGCAAAAATCTGCAATAACCAGAAATGCAAAAATATCGAACCTTCGAAAGAAAGCAATGTAAGTAATTGAAGAATCAATGTGAAAATATGGTTAAACGATATGATTATAGAAGAAATAACGATGCTAGAGATAATTAGCAAATACCACAGGATATATTTATGAACTTGGATATTTGTACAAAAACGTTGCATAACCAGCGATTGAAAAAAGAAATAGGAGGCAGCGACAGCTGCGAAAGCGAGTCGATGAAAAATCAGCGGCCACGATAACTTCCGCTTCGAAGCGGTATCCACCAGCTGTCGTTAATGAAACGATACCTACGTAGCCGTATAATGGTACAATGCATAAAATAACTGGACATTATTGTAAAATTGCCGGCATGTATTAATCAAAGTAACCGCAAACATGGGAAAGGAGGAACTTCGCCTGTCTTCCGAGAACCTGAAGAGTACGTGCAATCACTTTTTACTGTCAATATCGATTCTTGCAGCTTTTAACAGCCTTTGTCCCCCCCCCCCC